TATGTATTAAATAAATATTTAAATTTTATTTTAAACTAAATTAGATTAAAAATGTAATACTATATAATAATAGTGCATATAGATATTATTTTAAAACTTGTATAACTTTTCTCAAAAAATTAATTATAAAAATTCAAATTATTATGTATATATGTTTTGAAATAATGTATATGCTCTCAAACTAATGCACAAGTATGCATTATTATATATATATATAGTAATAATAAAGTTTGATAAAATTTTATTTTTTAAAATTGTTATATTTAAAAAATAGTTAATTTTAGTAAAATATCTTATCTGATATTTAAATTTTTGCTAATAGTTACTAATTTAAAAATGCTAATAAAAAAAATTTTTTATATGATCTTCAAATATAACATTATATAGATTGTTCAGGGTCCTGTATTAGCAATAAAAATTTATTTAAATATTATTATCTTTTATTAAATATAGTATCTATATTTACTATTATAAGTTATATTAAAGTTATTAAATAAATTTTATAAAAGCTAGCTATAATGATAGATTTGAATTTTTTCTCAAAATATATACTGGTAGATTTATTATATAAATTTTTTTACATAATTATTCTAAATAAATAAATATCAAATACCTTAGCATATAGTTATTAATTTAAAATTTTAAAAGCAATATAGATAGAAATTATTAAAATATAAGTGAATACAAGCTATATATCTTTAAGCTTTGTAATTGATTAAATTTATTATTAGAATTAAATTTAATAATAATTATTTGTGATTTGTAATTTTAATTGTTCTATTTTTTTTAAAGTAAATAGGAACATTGTTAATATAAAAAAAAAGTGCTTTATTTTCATATTCTATTATTTCTACAAGTGCTAAATTTCAGTTTTCACCAATTTTATCATTCTTTAATGTTTTTTGAAAAAAATAAGAAACATGTTGATGGTTTTTTTTTTCTACTGCTGAGCAAGAAAATGCATGTAAGCCAAAGTCTTTATGTATAGTAAGAAATTCTGAAACATGAAATACCAGAGTATGTATATAAGGAGTTATATCATTAGGCCTATATAAATCTTTAATAAATGTTAAAGAATTTGGATTTCCAGAAGAACATGTTAAAAATAAGTTAAGCCAATCTAATGCTTTTTTTTTAAATTCAGATCCAGATATTCGAAATTAATGTATATCTTGATATAATTTATTAAATCTATTCCATAATTGTCATATTTGTAAAGCATGCTTAGAATCTTTAAATAAAATATTTAAGTTAAAGTTTCTTAATACTTTAAGTTTATCTTTACTATTTAGTGAAGTTGATTTCCAAGTTTTGCTTTCTAAATCTTCCTACTAATGAAAATTAACTTGAATACATTTCATTTCTTAACTAATATCTAAACGAGCTTTAATGTTTGTTTTTATTTGTATTTCAATCATTAAAAGTTGTCATAAATAATCAGTTATTCGTAACATAACATGTAATTTATCAACAACCCAATTTGATAGTAGAATCATATAGAATAATGATAAATGTTTATGGCCAAGTGTAGTTAAATAATTATAATATATATTTAATATATTTTTTGAAATATTCCAATTATATATTTGATCTTTATTTTGATTTTTGCAAATAGTACACCAAAGACAATAGTGATTTGAGTTTGCTGCTTTATGACTCATACATATTACTAGAAATTTCTAATTAGTAAAAAAATATAATTGGATTTGCCATTTTTGACTTTGTTTATCCCAATATCCATTTTGAATATTATTTAAATCTTCAATTAATAGTACTAAAGCTACTTTTAAAACATCATATCTTTCTATACTAGGATAAAGTATAAGAGTATAATGATAATCTGGACAATATATATTTAAATAATCATTTAATAATATAAAGATAACCATTACATATTTCACTTTATGGCCTACATTTCTTTCATCATCAGAGATCTGAATATGCAATATAGGATTATTATAATTAATAATACCTTGTTCTAATAATGAAGATATAATATAATCAAGAATATTTTTAATTGATCAATAAACACCTTTTCCTATTAATTTAGTTACTTCATGTATAATTTTAGTATTATTAATTATATTTATATCCATTTTCAAATCATCCTTATTATCTATTTCTTGTATTAAATTTAAATCAATTAAATAAATTAGAATTAATTCATTCATTTGCTGATTAATTTGTTGGCGCATATTAGAAATAGCTCATTCTTATGATAAGTCATGTTCAATTGCTGCCATTAATCGATATGTTTGCCTTAAAATTTTTTTACTATCCATTGCTTTAATAATTGCTTGCATTTTAAGATTAATACTTTTATTATTTGTTTTCTTATAATTAATATAAAATTTTTGTGAATCAACTGTAAAACTTAATTCTTTAAAAGTTACTTTATCTTGACTATTAAAAGTTTGTGTTACTTGTTGTTCAAATAAATCATATAATTCTTTGCTAAATTTTGTATTATGTTTTAGTTGCATTGAATTGCTGAGATCTGAGATAGTTTGTAACTTCTTGGTATTTGACGCTTATCATGAATTTTACCAATTTGTTTTAGCTATAATTCAAAGAAATATATACTATTTAATTTTATTTTTTTTAACTTTTGTTTCTGTTCAGTTTTTTTTTTCTTCATCAGCAATTAATTTATTATAATGTTTAATATAAGATGTGGCTGCATCAGATGCACTAGATCTTAAAGTAACAACTTCAGTATTGTTATTATATGTAAACTCAATTTTAAATTCAGATATATTATCTTGATAATTAATTGAACATAACACAGTTCATTGTACTTTTCCTCTATCATATGTAGTTTCAACTACGTAATTATGTGAAATTTTATATTGATTTGGTTTTAATATATAAGCAAGAATATTTGTACAAGAATAAATTTCTTTTTGAATAATATGATATATGAATTTATTGCAAGATGTTTTAGCTTTGATTATGGAACTTTTTGGATAGTTTTTTGTTTCGAACATTTTGGTATTTGTTAAATGTAAATATAAAAAGAATAACTGTATGTCTATCGCTATTTTGACTAATATTATTAATCATTTTAACTGTCATATATATTACGTTATTAAAATTATGTATCATTATTATATCATTTTTATTTCAGACTATTGCTATATATTGATTAATATATAGTAATTATTAATTGACTAACTTATATTGATGATAATTCAATTTTTATAATAATTACGCAAATCTGCTGATATATATAGACTTTAAGTAGTCAGATAAGTAACTTACTTCTGTTTAAAGTAATATAACAAGTTGCACTTAGGTATCATTAGGATGTCCAGGTAATGTTAGACTTAGTGTTAAGAATATTTATATAATTGCAAATGTAATTTCAAAATCTTAATAAAGTATTAGTATAACTGCTTAAGAAAAAAATATATATATATTTTAATAAAAAACTTGATTATCTATTAATAAAAATTATACTAAATTTATATAAAAAAAAAAACCAAACTGGGTTAATAATTTTAAATCAAAATAGAATATATTATTCAAACAATTTATTAATTATATATATGTAACTAATATAAGTAAATAGATTTGTAGATATTCTTACTACTTGATCAATTGATTTAATATTTGTAAACATCTTATTTATTAAAAAAAAAAGTAACATCATATTCTACTGTAAATAAGTGCCACACCCTCTACCCTATTTTTTTAAATGTCAGATTAATGGACATCACAATAAGATCTTTAGCCAAGTTATTTCTACTAATTTGGTATTTAAAAAAATGAAATAAAAGATGTGATGCTTATTTATGATAGAATAAAGTAATTTATTTTTTTAATTATATTAAAAAAAATTATCAATCTCTTTTTTTGATCAAAGAAACCTTTTTATTACCATCTATAGATATAATTCAAATAATTATCTTAAAGATAATTTATCAGTTATAAGTGAATTAGTTAAAGAAGATAATGATGTATTTGATAATTTAATTAATACAACTAAAAAGACACTTGCACTTTTAGAAGAGCAAAAATTAACTGGTAATATAAAATGATACAAAACAATAAAAAATCTTTTGATTCTATCACTAAATTAGTTGAAAACATTGAAAAATATAAAAAAAAGGACTATACCATTAACGTGAGGGGATCATACAGATAGTACTCGTTATTTACAATAAATAAGAACTATATATTCTTGAACTGTTGTATTTGAAATAAAATTTTAAATTTGTAATTGCACTAAATTAGTATCGTTCTGAGCTTTCAAATCTGGCATCAAAGTACTGTATATCGATATCTGTACATACGTACATATCAGATATATGATCGGTAACATCACATGTGTAACGCATAAGCCACAACTACTCCAAGAGCACCACCAAAAATTTTTCGGTAACAAAATTCTTAAAAGTTTGTTAATATTAGGGTTAGCGTTTATATTAGGGTTTATCATAATGAGATACATAGCAAAATTGCTCAAGGAAAACTTTTTGTTAGAGCACAAAAGATGGTTTAATTTTCTTGATCATGTTACGTTAATGCTACATTACACCTGATCTTCAACCGAAAAATTTTTGGTGGTGCTCTTGGGGTAGTTCATAAGCCACATAAAATCACATGTCCGTGCTTTTTTTGATTGGAAGACTACTGGAAGGTCACTGGAAGTAAAACCAATAATATCACTGAAACTTAAAGTTCCGGTGACCTTCCAGTGGTCTTCCGGTGACAACACTGATAATAATGATAATCTATCCATCAATTTTCATTGAATCTATTATACCAAATAATAACTTAACCGAATCGGCCGAAAATCATCCGGCGAATTTTTATCATGTGTCTCAGATTTATGAAAACAGCTGAGCCGATGATCGGCTTGGCTTAGCAAGCCGGTTGCCTATTTATGGATGATATTATCCGGAATGATATTTAGGAATACTTATTTTTTAAAAATTTTTAATTTTTTTTTTAAAAACTTTGGTTCTCCCGACGACTAACCAAATTCGATGATTGTTTTTTAACTCATAAAACTTATGGAATTATAATAAAAAATTTACTGAATTTAGTCAAGTAGTTTTGAGAAATATTCACTTTTAAAGTTCTTTTCTTTCTAATCATGACTCCGTTGTAAAATTGGGCGATCGTTCTGTACAAGTTTTATTAGTTATACGTATAGATCATATGTGATAAGCTTGTCATTATACCATATTTGTATTTCAAAAAACAATGAATAAATAAACTTCATATAAATGATACAAAGGATTCATTAAAGGAAAAAAGACAATAATCTACGGTAATAAATTAACCAAATTAATTCTTGTGTTAACTTGTACAGATTTTATTATAAATTCATTTAGACTCTGCAACTTACTTAGTATCATTTCATTTAGACTCTGCAACTTACTTAGTATCATTTCATTTTATTCATGCCAATTTAATCACAAATCTATCTACAATTCAATGCTGTATTAACGTCTTAGATCAATATCAATTTCTGTTTCTAAAAAAATATTGTACAAAAATAAAAGAAAAACGCTAGAAAGTAATCACAAGACGGAGATGACATGCGTTATGAGCAACCAATTAAATCTCAAGAATTTAGATTTACTATTGCTTCACAATTCGGCGGATTTACCTTTATCTATATATATACCCTTAAATTATATTTATAAATGGGATCTTTATTTAGATTTCCCGATTTATAGGCATACCGCTATCAATAACAATATTTATACCGATATTGTAACAATTGGATCTTATTTAAACCCAAATCTATCGAAAAAATAGATCTAGGGTATTTAGATAAAGGTCAAATTTCGAAAATCCGCCGAATTGATCCATCCATCCTTCGGGCAAAAATCACTTAAAAGAAACCAAATTTAAATGTGTTCCTTGCTGGATTTAGCTCTAAGAGGGTTAAGATTTTCTTTTTGCGTTATTATGTAAGGGCGCTGACATTTATTAGCTAATATAGATGCTTGGCTCAAATATTTTTTTAATCAGCTTAATAATTACATCCCAGGGCATCTATGTTCTTGTTCACGTGACACTGGTCTGAAATCTCAAACTCCTTTGATGTTAACAATATGGATAATATTTCAAGAAGCTGAAGCTATTGGACAGATTTTAAATCGCATCTACATAAGTTGAAATCAAACCATGGTTACGTGATCGTCGTGATACGTTATTCATTTTTGATATCCAATGCCAAGAATAAAAATAAAATAAAAATAAAAATAAAATAAAAATAAAAATAAATAAAATTAAAATTTAAATTAAAATAAAATAAAATAAAAATAAAAATAACAAAAAAATAAAAATAAAAAATAACGACCTAAGATCATATGTAACATGAAATCAAAACAATAAATAATGTCGGGGATGATGCTGAAATTTGGACCTTAAAAATTTACCTATAAACACTACCCCTAAATTCTAACCTAACTATCAAAAAAAAGATTTAAAATTTCATAATAAAATAAGTCAAAATTTCAGCATCATCCCGACAAATAATAAATACGTTAGTCTAAGGTTAGGGTTATCATTAGACTATGCTTTAGGAAAGAGTTACTACCTAAAATTTTACAAGTGAGTTTTTTTAATTAGAACGTAAAAGGACAAAATCTTGAGTTACATGTTTTGCTTCGATTTCACGTTACACCTGATCTTGCATTCTAATTGGTCGATCAGGCCCTAAAAAATAAATAAATTATCATCAATTATATGTAACATAAGTTATAAGTTATATTTATTTTTTGGCAAACTTTCGTTCAAACGTGTCCATTGACAAAACACAGCTTTACTCACCTAAAACAAATATTGTGCCTCATGTAACATAATACATTGGTTACCATATATGGCTTTATTCGTTGTAACAGCCGAGTTAGTATTTTGTATCATGATGAGCCACGATGTAACACACTCTTCTGGGCATGAAGGTGGCGGCGTATCCACAATTGCCATACCTATCTCTTAGTTTTAGCGTTAATTATAATAAGCGCATTAATTTTCATCGTAGGAACTGCATACTGTAACAAATAAAGGAAAAGGAAAATGACGAAATCGGCGATCCATAATGATAATATTAAGGATTTTCTTAGGTCAAATTATGTTTATCTGTTCTTGTAGATTTTCTGAGGGTCCGAAAATGTTTGATACTTTAATTTTTAATTAAAAGAATCGATTCTCAAGAAATAACTTGTTAACACTATTATTGTAATGATTCCCATTTTTACACAATTTTGTTATCGGAAATGTCTCTTTGACGTGTATCTTAATATGGTTATTCATCATCACTCATTATGTATTTCGGCTAGATATCCTTGATTTGTAAGCGCGAATTCCGAAATTTATTTAGGCTACGGATGTCAACACTAGTTATTATGAGGGATAAGCTTTGTTTCCGATAATCTACAAGGGATGATGAAGTATCAATAACTTTAAAATTTATTTGCTGTAATTAATAATTATTATCGATAGCACGTATGTTACATTAATA